ATATTCGATCTATGGTATCCTCAGCATCCTTCTGTAGAAATTTCTAATGTCTCTTCCTGATGTTAAGTATAAATTTCCTTTTTGTTTCCTTTTTCTCTAAAACTTCGTCGTTGCTCACATATTCGGTCGATGGTATCCTCAGCATCCTTCTGTAGAAATTTCAACTGTCTCTTCCTGATGTTAAGTATAAGTTTCCTGTTTGTTTCCATTTTCTCTAAAACTTCGTCGTTGCTCACATATTCGGTCCATGGTATCCTCAGCATCCTTCTGTAGAAATTTCAACTGTCTCTTCCTGATGTTAAGTATAAGTTTCCATTTTGGTTCCATTTTCTCTAAAACTTCGTCCTTGCTCACATATTCGGTCGATGGTATCCTCAGCATCCTTCTGTAGAAATTTCAACTGTCTCTTCCCGATGTTAAGTATAAGTTTCTTCTTTGTTTCCATTTTCTCTAAAACTTTGTCGTTGCTCAAATATTCGGTCCATGGTATCCTCAGCATCCTTCTGTAGAAATTTCAACTGTCTCTTTCTGATGTTAAGTATAAGTTTCGTTTTTGTTTCCATTTTCTCTAAAACTTCGACGTTGCTCACATATTCGGTCCATGGTATCCTCAGCATCCTTCTGTAGAAATTTCAACTGTCTCTTCCCGATGTTAAGTATAAGTTTCTTCTTTGTTTCCATTTTCTCTAAAACTTCGTCGTTGCTCACATATTCGGTCCATGGTATCCTCAGCATCCTTCTGCAAAAATTTCAACTGTCTATTCCTGATGTTACGTATAAGTTTCGTTTTTGTTTCCATTTTCTCTAAAATATCGTCGTTGCTCACATATTCGGTCCATGGTATCCTCAGCATCCTTCTGCAGAAATTTCAACTGTCTATTCCTGATGTTACGTATAAGTTTCCTTTTTGTTTCCATTTTCTCTAAAATATCGTCGTTGCTCACATATTCGGTCCATGGTATCCTCAGCATCCTTCTGTAGAAATTTCAACTGTCTCTTCCTGATGTTAAGTATAAGTTTCCTTTTTGTTTCCATTTTCTCTAAAACTTCGTCGTTGCTCACATATTCGGTCCATGGTATCCTCAGCATCCTTCTGTAGAAATTTCAACTGTCTCTTCCTGATGTTAAGAATAAGTTTCCTTTTTGTGTCCATTTTCTCTAAAACTTCGTTTTTGCTCACATGTTTGATCTATGGTATCCTGGTGCTTCAGGTCTCTTCATCATCTTTGAGGAGATTGTCCAGCACTTTCTGCCATACAGGTGGACATGTATCATAACAATCTTTTCTTTGTAGCGAATGTTTTTTGTCTGTTGTTAGTGGATTTCCCTGAAAAACTGTTTTAAGGAAAAACATGTAATAAATTTTGCCCCTCGGTTACGTTAAGTGTTCGGCCATTGCATGGTAAGGGGTATTTATATAGCAATCTAAATTTACCATTAACATTAATTTACCCATTACCATTTTTTTTTATTTCCGTCTACTTGTTGAATTTTGAAAACAGTTTTAATGACTTTGAGGTCAAATAAATGCCAAAACTCAATGTTTGTATCCGTGTTAAGTTTTTAAAGACATTGATCGTAAGAGAACTCGAAGCTTTACCAAGATTCCTTGTTGGCTGGCACAACAGTACCAACAAAAGATACGCAAATGATACCGCGTTGATATCGGAAGCAGCAAACGCTGGAAGTCGTAGATAATGTAGTAAAGGAAAGCGCGAAGAAAGGACTAAGCATTAATTGTAAAAAGATAAAATATATAGTTGCCAGCAAAAGGTGCAGCCCAAAATGGTAACTATGAATTGGAGACGCCAACAGAAGCAAGTACAAATATTTAATTACCTGGGAAGTGTTTTAACAGACAACGGGAAATGTGACACCCAAATCCACTGGAATAACGAAAGATGCCAAGCAAAGAATTAAGGAACAGAAAAATGTCGTTAGAAGTCCTATGAAATATCAGCCCTTCTATAAAGTAATGTAGGTGCCTCCATTCAATTTTTTTACCTCAGGTTTAAAATGAAAAAGCATTCTTAAAGATTTTATTTTAGCTTTAATTGAAAGCTAAGGATTAAATTTATTATTTCCAATAACTAAAATATTCTGGTGTATTTCAGATAGAAATTATATAGATTTGAATGTGAAATATATGGCCGATTTTTTTTTTAAATTTCTTAAAAGCGGCCATTTTCTTGAATTTTAAGAAATTTGTAAAAAAAAAAAAAAAATATTCGATTTTAAACTTCTTCCTAAAATAAATTATATATTTTTGACACGTTGAGTAAAATTAGAAAATTTAAAGTTAAATTAATCTGATTTGAAACAAACAGTACTTACTTATAGCATGAAAAAAAAAATGATCCAAACATTTCTTAACGATGTCTTTATTTACGTTATCGATGTTATCGAGACGTTAAAGAGGTGATGACAGCTATTATGGATGATCAAGTTTGACAATTTTACGAAGCAAGCGAACGCGTTTTTTTATTTTTAACTAGTAATTTTTAAATATTAACATTTATTCAGAAATTATTTAATATTTATTTTTTATTTAATATTTTTTTTTTTAGTCTGGATTTCGTTTCTTAGGTTCTTAATCTTTTTATCTTATTTAATAACTTACTAACTTAAGTAAAAAATTACTTCAATGAAATATGACCCAAACTAAAATAAATACCTAAAATAAAAATATTTAGCAAAAAAAGTAATTCACAAAAATTAAAACTAACTTAGAAATTTTGAAAAGACTTTTTGCAAACACGTTAACGATGTCAAACAGAACTGGATATTGAAGAGAAATAATTGCAGTGCTTCAGACGACAATCAAATCATGTGATCTTTTTAAGAATTATGTCATGTATAGATTCCCCATAGATAGAAATTAGAAACGTTTTCTTCACTAAAAATTATTTTTTAAATAATTTTAAAAATAATCGGGTACAAACGATTGTTATGAGTTTTTCAAATTTCGATTCGTAAATTTACTTTTCCATTAAAGTTATCATTGCATTACGTGAATAAAAGCGATAAAGAATTTTAAACGATTTTTGAAATATTAATAATTTAATATTATATTAATAAAAATAAATTTTTAAAAAATGAAAAAAAAATTATAAAAATACATTATTCATCGAAAAAATGTTCTTCCTTCACAAAATAATGTCCTTAATATAACGTATTTACAAAAGCAAGTGAAAGCTTTTCTAATTAATTAATGTCATAATTTTTTTACATTTTTTTATGATTCAGAGCAGATTTTCTATGAAAGCGTTAATGTTAAAAAAAGAAAAAAAAAACTGGTGATTTACTTTCTATAAAGAGTTCTGTTTTTAACTAATAAAACAAATCCCATGCTTAATGATTTAATTTCTTGAAATTTCAGGAAAATATGTAAGAGGGTGGAAACGTGTTAAAAAAAATATCTTTTTAACAAGATTTTCTATAGAATTTTTTTTTAAAATGATTTCATTCATTTCAGAATATTTCCTGAAAGTTTCATTAAAATCTGACAATTATTTGATTTTTAAAAGAATTTTAAATCAACGTGTGTTTTCCTCGGAAGAAAGCGCAAAATAATAAAAAAACAACTTTTTACTCTATTATTGCGCTGTCATAAAAAAAAAAATTAACCAAAATTTTCTACGCGCTAGAAAGGAGTAAAAAATTTCAAAATATAATAAAAAAATACTTTGGTCTTTCCTCTTACTAATAACATAAGCATATTGATGACAAAACTTTGTTTTCGTTGAGTTATGGGCCTTTCTTCATAGTGATATAGTGGAGGTACTTAAAGTAATGTTTGCTGGAAATCTCATCAAAGATCAAGGAGAGGCAACAGAGATGTGGTTCTACAGAAGGATGCTGAGTATGCCATGGACTGAGCATGCCAGTAACGAGGAAGCTTTAAGGAAAATGGAAGCCAAAGCACACATATCGTTACAATCAGAAACAGTTGAAATTTGTAGGGCATATAATGAGGAAAGAAGGTTTGGAAAATTTGACATTCGCAGTTTTGTAAGCTTGAAAATAGTGGTCTTTAAAAATAGGTTCTTGTAACTTTTCCTCCATCATTCTCACATTTCGGCCTGTCCTTCACTGTGATTTGTCGGTACCTTACCGCTAGTTTTATTCTCGCAACAATCATCTACTTTTTCTATGTCATGATGACTCTTCACAATTCCCTATCCCTTGTAGCAGCCTTTTTACCTCTGCTAACCCCCCTCCCTCGTTTCACCACCCATTTGCACAAGCATGTCATGTAAGTGGCTTTCTGCTATCTTTCTTACCGTCGATATGCTTTGTAAGGGTTGTGCTTTCCAATACCAAGAAATTTCAACTCTATCTTTGTCATTCTGAAAATGTGTTCTTTTTGTTGCCATTTTCTGTAAGATTTTCTCGTTGCATACTCGATCCGTCCATCGAATTCTTGGTATCCTTCTTCGGAACAACATTTCTGTTGCATCCTGTTTTCTCATCACCTGTGGAAAGATTGTCCAACATTCACTGCCATAGAAGAGGACTGATATCTTTGTTTCTAATGAAATATTCCCGTTTGTTAGTATTTCGTTTAGCACAGGTGTCATCAAACCTTTTCGACAACAGACCCCCTCCCACCTTTTTGTTTCTCTTTCATTTTGTTTCCCCCCATCTAAAATATCTTATAACTTTAGAACTCGCACGGATGTTGGCTATTAAAATCTTTACTAACATGTATGAAAAGATAAGAAATTTGGATCAAATTCAAAATTTTCCCCTCAAAAATATATCCAAGAAAATATATCAAACTAGCGACCATAACAGTTCGATCATAAAAAGCGTTCAATTAGAATGGAGCAAAAACAGCATCATGTTTAGATGTAACAAAGTCTATCTTCTTCAATTACGTTTAAAGTACTTTCATTAAAAACATTTTAAATTAATGCAGTTACTTATATAACAGAGGTAGCCTGAAGTTAGCCGAGGACATAAAGGGGTAAAACAAGCAACATGAACACCCACATCAGACCTAAATAAAGCTGATGCTGGTGAACAGAAATACATAACCGCTACCTTTCCGACACCCGGGCGAAAATGTTCAGCGCCTACCCTTTCCGACAATGTTCAGCTCCTACTCTTTCCGACACCCGGTCGACAATGTTCAGCTCCTAACCTTTCCGACACCCGGTCGACAATGTTCAGCTTACACCCTTTCCGACACCCGATCGACAATGTCCAGCGCCTACCCTTTCCGACACCCGGTCGACAATGTTCAGCTCCTATACTTTTGACACCCGGTCGACAAATGTATTATTCCGACAATGTTCTCCTACTCTTTTCCGACACCCGGTCGACAATGTTCAGCTTCTACTCTTTACGACACCCGGTCGACAATGTTCAGCACCTACTCTTGCCGACACCCGATCGACAATGTTCAGCGCCTACCCTTTCCGACACCCGATCGACAATGTTCAGCTCATACCCTTTCCGACACCCGGTCGACAATGTTCAGCTGCTATACTTTCCGACACCCGGTCGACAATGTTCAGCTCCTACTCTTTCCGATACCCGGCCGACAATGTTGAATTACTTTGTTTTTTTTTTCGTCAAACATCATTCAAATTTTCCCTTTTCTTATCTGGGACTTTTTCTATTCAAACTCTTTGTTTTTTCTCCCCTTTTCTACTCCATCGCATTTCCCGCTTAATATTATTGCATAGGTGTATAAATAATTCCAGCTCAAACTAGTCGAAGATCGGTTACAGTTACTACACTTTGATTCTCACTGAAAATTGTAATGATCTTTCTAGTGAGAATCAGTCAGTTTTGTGCCATGCGTGAGATACTCTTAGGCGATCATGTATCTTTCGATACATGACTGACGAGGCAAGTTGCTTTTTGAGGTAGACCAGCTGCCAACCAAGGTTATAGAATACGGTCTGTCCTGCTATTTGCCCATAGCTGGTGCGAAGAAGAGGAGGATTCATACCTTTTCCCAAGAGTATTATCACGTAAGTGAATGTAATGGATTCGACTGGAATTCGAACTCGGATTCCTCAATCATACAAACAAGTAGAATTTTAACAGTGATAAGAATGCATTTAACTCTGTGTCTTCCAGGTGTTTTTGAATTGATCCATGCAAGAAAAAGCAGTAGTAATTTTTTCTATTACGGCATTTTCTTTGGTCAGAAAAAAAATTATTAATAAAGATTTTAATTTTGGCGATAGGCTTGTGGTTCATTCAACACACACACACGTCAATAATATATATGTTAATAAGTTGAAAAGAAAAGTCTTGAAAAGCAGTCGATTTTGAAATTCATTTAATTTCTTCAGGAAAAAAAGAAGGAATTTTTAAATTTTAAATTATAATTATATTTATTTTGAACTTTTTCTTGTCTTTACAAACATGTTTTAAACTATATGCTACTTGTTTTAAATAAAGCAAATGAAGAACTTGTCTAAGGCCTAAATTTTTGTCGCAGGATTAATATAAGTTTTCAATTCCTGCATTTTCAAATGGTATATACTTAAAAGAAAAAATATCAGCGAATAGAAGCTGGGTTAGGAGCCATAGATGTTTTGAATTTCTTAAGAAATTTCTGCATATAATTATTTCGTTCTGTTTTTTTATCGTATTATTTTTTTTTATGTACATATAATAAAATGAAAGAACGGCATGGGAAGGTGTTCCGTCTGGAAACAGAATATATTAAAATATTTTTCTTAAAAATCGATTTTTTTTTCTTAGTCCAATGAAAAGTAAAAGACAGCAGAGTTGTTCACGTTTTAGTAGCGAAAAAAAAGAAAAAGAAAAGAAAAGCCAAACACTAAAGTCGATGGACACGCGAAAGATTAAAATATGAAAGTTTGAAAAATTAAAATTGATAATTCTTGCTTGTTTTTCACCTTCATATATATTTGTCTTTTGCTCACATCCTTCGAGAGGCGGGGAGACATCGGAGTGTAGAATTAGGAGGGAGGGAGACATTGGAGAGTAGAAGTAGGAGGGAGGGCGACACTGGAGAGTAGACGAGGGAGAGTAGAAGAAGAAAATACAGAAAGCGAGGGGGAGTTTATATATCGGGGTGTAGAAGAGGGAGGGAGGGAGTGAGAATAGAAGAAAGAGAGAGGGAGGAGACATTCGAGAGTACAATAGGGAGGAGACATTGTCTCATTGACATTGGGGAGGAAAAGAGGAAGAGACAGAAGGATATATTGCAGAGGAGGAGGTGGAGTGAGAGAGACATTACAGAATAGTAGAGAGAGGGGCGGACGGAGACCGGGGGAGTATGAGAACGATATATATATATATATATATATATATATAGATAGAGAGAGAGAGAGAGAGAGAGAGAAAAGAAGGAAGATATAGAAAGAAATACATATGGGGGAGAGGTGAAGAAAGAGACGATAAGAGGGTAAAGATATAGATAGAGAGAGAGTTGATAAAGGATGAGGAAGAGACAAGAGAATTTGGGAAATAGATACGTCGATGTGGATATATAGAATGATAAGAGAAAGGGACAGAGATCGGGGCGGAGAGAGGAGGGGGATGTCTGAAGTGGGAGGAGTCTGAAGGGGTACCGTTAGTTCGTGTGAGTCCCCACCCCCGTTACTATTTGTTCTTGTAAAGGCAAAGCCAACCAGACTTGGTTGAAAAAGTCGATACAGTAAAGCAAGCGAAATATAGATTTAAATCCAGAGTTTTTTTGGGTTTTTTTTCTGTTCCATTTTATATAACAATTTTGGTTTGTCCTTGGAATCAGAAAAAATGCCAATATATATATATATATATATATATATATATATATATATATATATATGAAATCATATTTAATATTTTCTGTCACCAAAATCTACAGTTTTGGTAGGGAATATTTCACCAACGTGTTTCTTTTCCGTTAATAAAAATTGTCTTAAAAAAATAAAATGTCAGTTCATGTATATTTTTTTCTTTTCTCATTTTCATTATAGAAGCCATTGAAACTGATTTGCACTTTCATTTCTTCATCCTGTTGTGAAATAAATATACGTTGTTGCTTTTGGCTGTTGAAGTCAGTTTTTGAAAATATTTCTTTCTTTCATTCGGTTCGATCAGCAAGCATCAAGGTTCTCTGAAAGTGTTTCCGCTATAACTTATTGGCAAGGAATAAGTTTAGCTTAGCTGGGCACAAGGCCATGAGTTTTTTTTTTTTTTTTAAACATTTGGCAATAATAGAAATTTCATTTACTTGCATATTGTTTTAAAGGTACAATTCCCATTTTATTTTTTTTTTTTTCCTTTGTTGGGATATGACCTCTGATGAAAAGTTTCCTGATGAAAAGTAAAAATAGCTTTATTTTTAAAATCATAATTTACAATAGCAGCGGCATTGGGATGAAAAGCAAATCGGCATTTTTTTTTCTTAATTTTCTTTAAAAAATGATAAAAAAGCGAAGGGAAAACAGAGAAGGCTGTTCCCTTTAGGAATATCTTGGGAAAGATTGTTTTCCATCTTTTTTTTTTTTTAATCATAAAAGATCTTGAGAATTATTGAATGCTATCATTTTAATCATCTTTTAGATATTTTAATCATCTTTTAGATATTTTAATCATCTTTTAGATATTTACTAAGCGGATTTTGTCCAAATCGGTGGGAATCGATCCTCATACTGTGGTAATTGCCTACAAAAAGAAAAGAAAAGTATTTAGATAAAACATTTACATTTAATATATATATATTATATATAGTATATATATATATATATATATATATATATATATATATATATATGTGTGTGTGTGTATATAAAGAAAAATATACAGAAAAAAATCCTAATATGCGATTATGCTGTTTTAATGTTTAATGTCAACGTCGGACGTTTCGGTCTAATAGACCACCTTCAGGACATATTCATAAAACATAATTAACATAGAATACGTTTTCACAACATCGCCCACGTGACGACGACGTGATCATATTTAAACGGAACGCTGATCTTATAAAAGATTTCAATTATCTGTTTGGATTGGTATTGCTTTTATGTTCATCGTCTTTTTCATGTTGAATTGTATATGGTCTATGTTAATTATGTTTTATGAATATGTCCTGAAGATGGTCTATTAGACCGAAACGTCCGACGTTGACATTAAACATTAAAACAGCATAATCACATAGGATTTTGTTTGTTTTTTTCAGTATATTTTTCTTCATACTGTCGGATCTATATCCATATATTTGCTTGCATATATATATATATGTATATATATATATATATGAAACGGAGATTGGAAATAAAATGGTAATCTTCCTAATATCAACAAATACAATACGCGAGCATTGTATTTTGTTGAGATGAAGATTCCCATTTTATTTCCAACCTCCGTTTTGGTTATTCCTCATTCATTAACCATTTCTACGTTACAATATATATATATATATATATATATATATATATATATATATATATATATATAATACTGATTCTATCTTTAAAAACGTTACTAGTATGAAGAAGTTTCTTCGCGGAACGAAACGTATCACTGACGAATTTTGCAAAATTAAAAATATATTAATGTAGTGTTTAAACTTAAGTGAGAACAAAAAGCCTGCACATTTATTTGTTTGTTTTTTTAATCGATTCACACTCAAGCAAGTCAATAAAGCTACTAGGCCTCAAGTGGTTACTAAGTGTTAGAAAATATGAAAAAAAATATACTATTAAGAGGAGAGAACAATAAAAGTTTAAGAATTATGAAGACAGAAGATAACGATTGACATTGTAGTTTGTTTTTTTTAAAGATCAAAGTTGACTGGGAAGCAAGAAGCCAGAAAAGAGTTCGCTTGTGGAATATTCTTCAGACTTCATGCTTTCCAGTCAACGTTAATCTTCAAAAGTTTAAATGCAATGTCAATCGTTTTTTCTTTTCTTTTTAATTCCTGTTCTTTTATCGTTCTCTCTCCTTAATAAAGTTTTTCTTTTTCTCTCATTCTTTCCCAATCAGTAACCTCTTGAGTCTTAGTGGCTTCATTAGCTTGCTCGGGATGAATTGAAAACTATGAAAAATATTTTCGTAAAGTAACACTTATTCACTGACAAATGACAAAAAATAAAAGTAGCAGAAACAGATTTCGCGGACGGGGTTCATCAACACAACATTCAATACTCTCGTTATGTTGAAGCAAGTCTCGCGAGACTTGCGCACGAGATTCAAAACGAGAGAAGAAACACTCATACAACTTACAATTGATCAACAGTGTGTAAGGAGAACTCTGAATATACTTACGATTTACTCCCATACAATCATTAAATTCTTCGAGTGTAATTTTCTTGTTTTTATCCGCATCGCAGTATCGTAAGAAATTTCTACCGCACTTTCGGGATTTCTTTTTTCGCTTTCGAAGATCTCGCTTGAATTTAGTCAATTCTTTGCGCTCCAACAGCTACAAATAATAAAGAAAAAGAAAAGTGAGATTGAGATTATCCTATGCATTTATCACAACTTTATAATGTCATTACATCTAGAAATATTTCGTGACAATCGAAAATCTCGTTTACTTAACTTTCAAAGCATTACAAGAAAAACAGTAGCAATGCATTTACATATAAACATCATGGTAGAAGGCTTGTGTATTCCGGTCAGTGCAAGATTTACCTATAGACTTAGCAGGCTGAAGCCTAAGGTCACAAAATCTAGAGGAACACGAGCCAAGGTGTATAATATTTTTGACACTGTCATAAGCATTTCTTACACATGCGGTTATAACGCATTGTAGACACTAACCAACCCTTAAGTAATTTTCGTGACATTCTACTGGAGGTTAGCATCAGCCATACTGGTAAAAAGAGTTCTCTCAGACGATTAAAAGAGCATTTTCATTTCTGGAGCAGTTAAAATTAACAAGTCTTTGCTTGCCCCAGTTAACAACTTCCGAACAGCACAGCGGTTGTCAATGGAATAATTCTGTCTATGCTAGCATCGATTTCGCTATAGATTTTTTAAATAATTCATTTTATTTTATAAATTTTAATTCATGCATTTTTTTTTCAGTCACATATATTGAACTTAACAGTTACATCTTATCTCCTTTAGAGGACGAATTGTGAACTGTGGAATTTTAAACATCCGTCATCATCCTCGGCTTTACTCAAATTGTTTAATTTAACACTCTTCCATTTCCCTCTACTCGTAAGAATGGGGGATTTGGAGGGGCGCTCACAAGTGGAATAGCTTAAGGCCTCTCTTTGTCTAAATCCGGCCTCGGTGCCAGTGATACCAAGAGCGAAGCCGTTTGGATTTGCAACTCTGGTTGGGCAACCCATGGTGGTAATTTCGAGTTGAAAAGACCAGACTGAAAGCAACCAACCGAAGGTCTCAAAGGCGGAATAGGCAAAGATCTGCACGATTTCAACAGCCAAAACCGCCGAAAGAGGGCAACGACAGTTGGGCTGGCGTAACCAAGGCAGACCTTGACTATTTCCCAGATCTCGCCTATCTTAATCATCCTTGAGCAGTGAGGGAGGCGCTTCTGGCTAAGCGTGTGTGCGTCTCTGAGTTGACCACCAAAATCAAATTCCCACGAATGGCCTCGTCAAACTTTGATTCACAGCCATCTCCGACACCGCTAACCCGGGGGTGGGGAATAGAGAGAGAGGATAACCATCCTAATGCGGGCAGGTGCCGACGATTCCAAGGTATAATAACCCTATTCAATCAGTAATGCTTGACCATTATGCTTTTCAAAAGCTAAGCATAGTACTAAAAAATAGAAAAAATTTCGCGAGAAAGGAAAAGAGTACTACACTGCTACATGGTATGGCAGTAAGTGTTGGACAATCTCTTCAAAAATGAAGAGACTTGAAGGAACAGAAATGTGTTTCTACAGTAGGATGCCGAGGATACCGTAGACCGAACAAGTGAACAACGACAAAGTTTTAGAGAAAATGCTAAGAAAAATAACATTATACTTAACATTAGGAAGAGAGAGTTGAAATTTCTACAGAAGGATGCTGAGGATACCATGGACTGAACATGTGAGCAACGACGGAGTTTTAGAGAAAATGGAAACCAAAAGGAAACTTCTACTTAACATTAGGAAGAGAGAGTTGAAATTTCTACAGAAGGATGCTGAGGATACCATGGACCGAATATGTGAGCAACGACGAAGTTTTATCGAAAATGGAAAGAAAAAGGAAACTTATACTTAACATCAGGAAGAGACAGTTGAAATTTCTACAGAAGGATGCTGAGGATACCATGGACCGAATATGTGAGCAACGATGGAGTTTTAGAGAAAATGGAAACAAAAACTTATACTTAACATCAGGAAGAGACAGTTGAAATTTCTACAGAAGGATTCTGAGGATACTTAAGTGAGCAACGACGGGGTTTTAGAGAAAATGTCAACGGAAAAGAAGCTTATACTGAACATCAGCAAGAGATAGTTGCGGTTTTTGGGCCAAATAATGAGGAAGGAGGGCTTGGAGATTCTGATACTCATAGGATATATTGAAGGCAAGAGAGACAGTAAAACAAGGAATAGCACACTTAGTGACCTTGAGTAAATGGATGGTGGAACGTGTTTAGGAGAAATAACAGAAAGACGAAATTTCTTAAGAGCTACAAGGGACGGACAGGAAATTGTGGAGAGCTATGATCGCCTACATCCTGAAGGGCCACGGCACATAAAGGGGCCGAATATTTCTAGTAAGTACCTGACTCCTCCTGCTATACTCTACAGAGCAGGTCAAAAATGGAATACTATTGCCATATACGGGCAGAAGCTGCTCAGTTTTCTATTCCCAGTATTAGCGTTCTCCGCGTCCTTGTGGGTGATGAATTATTTTCCACCCTGCTACCTCTTTCCTCGCAGACGAAACGTCGCAAGCCTCTCACTGCTCTATCGATATTTCCATGGAAAGTGTTCAGACGAACTACATTCCTTAGTTCCACCAATTCTAACTTTGAGGTTTATGACCCGCCATGCCACGCCCATTGTAGAGAACCACGCCTCATTCCCTTTGTATTCTATTGATGAGATGTAAGTTCCGCTCGAGCCGTTTCTTCCTACGAACGGCTCCATTGTGGAATCGATTCCCAAGAGGATGCTTACCTGATCACTACAATCTTAACCTGTTCAAGTCTAGGGTTAACCGTTATCTCCTAGACATAACCTCATAAACTGTGCCTCTTACACTGTAACCCTCTACCTCGAGTGGCCCCCGGGCCTTATACAGGGCGAACCTTACTGTAAAAAAGAAACAATCTTCAGTCCTACAAACCATTTCTTCTGTTTATATAAGGAATATTATTTTGAAAATAGTTCAGATAAACTATATTCCTTAGTTCCACCAGTTCTAACTTTCAAGTTTATGACCCACCATGCCACGCCCATTGTAGCGAACTACCCTCATTTCCTTCGTATTTCACTGGTGAGATGTAAGTTCTACTCGAGCATCTTCTTCCCACAAACCACTGATATGTGGAACTGACTCCCAAGGGGATGCTTCCCCGATCACTACAATTTTAATCTATTCGGGCCTGTGGTTAACCGTGATATTTCTCGCATATCCCTAGAAACTGTGCCTCTTACTCTGTAACCCTCTAACTCGAGTGGAACCCGGGACTTTTACAGGATGAACAGTATCTGTCTATATTTCTGAGACGAGGTATTATGTACACTATTTACATTATTCGGACTATTGTCCTCATCTTTGTCGCCATATTTATTACAACGTTTCGGCCTTTCAATATCTGTCTATATTTCTGAGATGAGGTATTATGTACACTATTTACATTATTCAGACTATTGTCCTCATCTTTGTCGCCATATTTATTACAACGTTTCGGCCGTTATACGCTCCGACCTTCTTCAGGTGGTTGGAATGTTGAACTGAACCTTTATTTCGCTCACTGGGGTAGACTGTTCTAGTTCCACGTGTCATGTTTAATGGATGTCAGTTATCAGTTATCTCCTGTGAATTCCCCTCTGCAAGTTCTCCACTGCCTTAACCGGGTATTGAACTGACGTTCTTTGGGTCCTGTCACTGGATCTAATCAACACCTTTAGCCACTGTGCCATGTGTCCTTGAGGATTAGAACAGTCTACCCCAGTAGAGCCACCAGTTGAACGGTGAGTAAACACTTGTAACTATTTTTATATCTACCGTGAAACATTACATATCAATTATTTGCGAATTTTGACTCCGGAGTTTAGGCAGAAAGGTTAAAATGGTTCAGGAACGCAGGGGTCAAAAGGTTAAAAGGTTAAGGGTTAATAAGACTTCAAATTCTAGATGCTCTCAACACTGAACTAAAGAAACCAAAGATTTTAACATTGGAACGAAGGTTTAAATAATATTCAATCCCTGAAAATATATTTAACAGAGCGAAGAATCTAACTTGCAAGCCGTTTACTTTCCTGGCATCTCCATAATATTTTAAAAGAATTTGAATATGTAAGGTCAAGACTAAGCGTTCAATCACAAACGTTTAGAAACTAGTGGAGGTCAGTTTTGGAACCGTGATATTGCACTCAATCTGTAAGTTGGGTTTTCACCTGATAAGTTATGACACAAAATATTTTTCCCCAAATCATTACCATTTTTTGAGGAAACACTTTTAAAGATTAAGTTTAGGTTCAAAATCATAGCGTTGGAATTTCATTCCGGTGATCAGTGAAAACCTTATAGAACTGCCTTATAAAATTTATAATTTACTGAAGCTTTACAAATTGTATATGGACAAAATACATGGCACAAGCAGATTATTACTAAAAGACTGTGCCATCAAATAGGACCTTCATTTACTTCAAAGGGAAATTGTACTGATTAGATTAGCTATATTATGATGCAATATATTTTACACTGCAATGGTTTTAGCGTGATTTTCAATAAACGATGCAAATTTAAAACATTTTTTCTTATAATTCGTGCCCACCCAGCAGTATTATGGTGTTATAAACACTCTAATCCGTTTTTTTGTTTTTATTAATTATAATCTAATAAATTGTATTCATTGAGTAGGCTTTTTTGTAATCTTTTACATTTTTTTACATAGGATTTTACTTTTTATTGCATCGGATTTCGGTATCGTCTGCTAAAACACTAACCAGATAGTTAAATGTGTGCTGACCTGACAGATAAGTCTATTTCGAGAAATGTTTCCCAACTGAGGTCCATATGAACCCAGCGAGTCCACACACACACACAAATAGTAAATTGAGAGTCTACTGTAATATTTTAGTGGTTCATAGAGCAATTTCACTTCGAAACGATTGTTACAACTGAGAATTGAAATTTCTACAGTAATCGACGACATATTAAAATATTTAAACTAGAAAAACAAAAAACGAGATCAAGGGAAATAAGTTAGCGTCCCTTTTATTCTACCGTGGTTGAATAAAAACTGAGAAGGATCTATAAAGGAAGGATTATTATATAT